ATTTGGCGACGACGTGGTTGAGATTATCAAAGACTCTAACCCTGTGGACAAGTCCAAGCTTGATGCACAGAAGGTGGGTCCCCCGACCATTTCCCAAAATCCTAGATCCACAGAGACTCCAAGTACTGTTTCCTGGGGACCCTCAAATCCTCTTTCTCTGGGAAACCCCAAATCATATTTCACTGGGGGACCCCAAAACCTATTCCTCAGGGGATTCCCAAACATCCGGACATAGGAAGACCTGGAAATGACAAAGTCCCCAGATCCAGGGATGCCCAGATCCCCTCTCTCCAGGCACAGGGCCTGGGCGGTGCGTGCCGGGGCTGTGGGACCCTCCTCACACCTGACCCTGCGCCCAGGCCTACATCCAGATCACGTATGTGGAACCGTACTTTGATACCTACGAGCTCAAGGACCGGGTGACCTACTTTGACCGCAACTATGGGCTTCGCACATTCCTGTTCTGCACGCCCTTCACGCCGGATGGGCGCGCACACGGGGAGCTGCCCGAGCAACACAAGCGTAAGACGCTGCTCAGCACCGATCACGCCTTCCCCTACATCAAGACTCGCATCCGTGTGTGCCACAGGGAGGAGGTGGGTGGGGACCCTGGGCCTGGAGGGGTGGGGAGGTGAGGGGACAACAGACCCTGGGAGGGGAGGGGAGGGAAGACATAGGGACCCAGACCCAAGGTGGCCCATGGATCTCAGACACAGAGAGGGATGGCACAGGGACCCTAGACCAGATCCCCAGGGAGGGGAGGGGAGGAGACCAGACCCAGGGAGACCTGGGAGGCAGATACAGGGACCCCAGACCCAGCGTGGCCCAGAGATTCCAGACCTAGAAAGAGGAGGCAGAGGGAGCCCAGATCTAGGAAGGCCCAGGGAGGAGAGGTGTGGCCCAGGAAGAGACCCAGGTACCCCAGAACTGGGCGGAGAAGATATAGAGACCCCGAATTCCAATCTCTAAACTGAAACCTCTACCTCCAGACCCAGGAGGACCCAGGGATTCTAGACTTACAAAGGGGAGGCCCAGGGACTCCAAATCTAAGAAGGCCCAGGGAGGAGATGCCCAGGGATCCCAGACCCAGAGAGGAGAGGTGTGGACACGCTAGACCCAGAAATTGGCTCATGTACCCCAGAACCAGGTTGAGGACCCCAAACTCCAACTTCCAGTCTCAAACCTCTACCTCCAGACCCAAGGAAGTCTGGAGACCCCAGATATAAAGCCACTAAACCCCAGGGCACCAGACGCAGCAGACCCAAGGCTGGACCCCCCCAGAGTCAGACCCAGGAAGGACCCCAGATTCTGGTCATTGCCTGGGTTCTTGGACCCCTCTTGCTCCCAGCGGGGTCTGAGCTGCCCCCGACTGGCTTCGATCAGGACCTCCTCAGGCCCCAGCGAGTGCACACCCCTCCCCTCACCCCATAGACGGTGCTGACGCCAGTGGAGGTGGCTATCGAGGACATGCAGAAGAAAACACGGGAGTTGGCCTTTGCCACCGAGCAGGACCCACCAGATGCTAAGATGCTACAGATGGTGCTTCAGGGCTCCGTGGGGCCCACCGTGAACCAGGCACGGCTGGTGGAAGGGGGATGCAGGCCGCACGGGGCACTCCAGGTGCCATGCAGGCTGGGTCACCAGTCCCTCTCACCCCACAGGGTCCCCTGGAGGTGGCCCAAGTGTTTTTAGCAGAGATCCCGGAAGACCCCAAGCTCTTCCGGCATCACAACAAACTGCGGCTCTGCTTCAAGGACTTCTGCAAGAAGTAGGCGCAAAACCCCGCAGGAGGGGGCTTATGCCTGCCTAACCTGCACAGACCTGCTCTCTGCCCACCTGATCGCCGCATGGCTCCCCCATCTGCCCGATTCCCATTAAGTCCACTCTCCCAACCTGACCTCCTATTGCGGGTCTTTCCGCAGGCCTGGCCCCGCCTTATGGATGCCCCCACCCCTAGTCTTGCTTTCAGTCCCGTGTGCGAGTCTCTTAGCATCTCCCACCCTCTGGCCCTCAGATGTGAGGATGCGCTGCGGAAAAATAAGGCCCTGATTGGGCCGGACCAGAAGGAGTACCACCGCGAGCTAGAGCGCAACTACTGCCGCCTGCGGGAGGCTCTGCAGCCCCTGCTTACCCAGCGCCTGCCCCAGCTGCTGGCACCCACCCCACCGGGCCTCAGGTGCCTGACCTGGTGCCCCCATCCTAGAGACTAGAGAGGGGATGCAGAGGCAGACCAGGACAGATACAGGATGGGGGCTGTTGTACACGTACACAGCAACATGTTTCCTGGTAGCTTGGACTTTGTTTGACTTTGTTTTGTTTCTGGTTTTTTTTTTTTTTTTTGAGAGAGTCTCCCTCTGTTGCCCAGGCTGGAGTGCAGTGATACAATCTTAGCTCACTGCAACCTCCACCTCCCAGATTCAAGCGATTCTCCTGCCTCAGCCTCCTGAGTAGCTGGGATTACAGGCATCCGCCACCACACCTGGCTAATTTTTTGTATTTTTAGTAGAGACAGGGTTTCACCATGTTGACCAGGCTGGTCTCGAACTGCTGACCTCAGGTGATCCACCCACTTTGCCCTCCTAAAGTGCTGGGATTATAGCATGAGCTGCTTCAACTTTGCATAAGCATCTGAATAAGTCATCCAGATGTACAAAGGCAGGGCAGGCTCTGAGCCGTCATTTCCAAGATACATGAATTCATCTTTCTGAGCCTCAGTTTCTACATCTGTAAAATGGGGATGATTCATACCTTCCGTGGTGGACTACAAGAGAGAATCTGAGAATCCCACAGCAGGATCAGGGACAGGAGAGACCCCAGAAGAATCCTCGAAGGAAGAGGAAGAGGATGAGGATGTGGGCTGGGAGGTCTATGGAGTTGGGGGCCCCACGGCCATGCTGACCCACCCTCATTCTTTTCCCAGGAACTCCTTGAACAGAGCAAGTTTTCGAAAGGCAGACCTCTGAGCCCACAAGGACCAAAGCTGCACCTAGAGGAACCAGCACCCGGGCCTCAGCTATCTGTGCTGCGAGGGGAGTCTCCCCTGGTGTCCACTGGGCCATGGGGTGACCACATTGTACTCGGTGCTGGGCCCTTTGCCCCTGTGTCCCCATCTGTATGCACTGATGCTTCCTCCCTTTTTTAATTTAAAATGGTTTTTATAAGCAACCTGTGCCATGTGGTGCGGTCACTAGGGGCTGGGTCACATGCTCATGACATGCTCACAGTCCACTGCCCCACATCCACACATCCCGGCATCATCAATGGAGACACCAAGAACATACTGGGTGCCAGGGACATCGTGGTGACAACAGACACAAATTCCTGCCCTTGTGGAGCTGACGTTCTAGCGGGGAAGGCAACACACAAATAATGTCACATGCCTCCCGGGAATAATAATACCTGGTTCTTGTTTCTGTTTTTAACAGACAGGCTCTCTCTCAGTCCCCCGGGCTGGAATGCAGTGTCACAATCATAGCTCACTGCAGCCTCAAACTCCGGGGCTCAAGCCTCCTGAGTAGCAGGGATTACAGGCACATGCCACTATGCCTGGCTTTTCTTTTTTTTTTTCATACGGAGTTTCGCTTTGTCACCCAGGCTGCAGTGCAGTGGCGCAATCTCTGTTCACAGCAACCTCCACCTCCCAGATTCAAGTTACTCTCCTACTTGAGCCTCCCAAGTAGCTGGGATTATATATGTGCACCACCATGCCCGGATAGTTTTTGTATTTTTAATAGAGACAGGGTTTCACCATGTTGGCCAGGCTGGTCTTGAACTCCTGACCTCAGGTGATCCACCCGCCTCAGCCTCCCAAAGTGCTGGGATTACAGGTGTGAGCCATTTCTCGGCCCCAGGTGGTTTCTTTTTTGTTTTATTTTTTGCAGACATGGGGCCTTGTCATTATTGCCAAAGCTGGTCTCCAACTCCTTGGCTCAAATAATCTGCCCACCTTGGCCTCCCAAAGTGCTGCAATTACAGGCATGAGCCACTGCGCCTGGCCTAATTTTTTTTCACTTAAAAATTTTTTTTGTAGAGACAGGGTCTTGCTACGTTGCCCAGGCTGGTCTGGAACTCCTGAGCTCAAGCAGTCCTCCTGCCTTGGCCTCCCTAAGTGCTGAGATTACAGGTGTGAGCCACCTCACCGGCCTAATAATATTTATTAAGCCCTTGCTGAGTGGCTGGCTGTGTACTAAAGGGCTACCAGAAAGATCTCTGCAAAAGTAGGACACTCCATTTATGAGACTTTTTAACCCGAGGGACCTCCTTCCTAATGGTTAGGCCCCTTCCCAATGGTTAGTGAATCTTCTCAACACTCCTATCAGGTAGCTAACATGATCATCTCCATTTTACAGATGGGCAAACTGAGGCACGGAGCAGCAAGTTTGGTGGGTCTGGGATGGGAGTCCAGGTCTGGCTGGCTCCGGCGCCCAGACCTGTGCAGCCTCCCCTCTCGCGCGGCGGTCACGCCACCGTGTGCCAGGCTTGCGCTGGGCCGCGTCCAGCCCTGGGCCGCCTGGGGGAGGGGTGACCTCCCGCCGCCGCGCCCCCCCGCGCGCCCTCCCCTAGCTGGGCCCCGGCCAGCTCCACCCCCTCCTGCCGCCGAGCCGTTCCGCCCCCCGCAGCGGCCCAGGGACAGCCGGCGGTGGGGGGAGGCCGGCGGGGGGGGACCCTGCTTTGGGGACTTAGGGAGGGAGGAAGGACGAGGCCGGACACCCCGGCGCGCACACACACACCTGCTGTCCAGGTGAGATCCAGTCTCCAACTAGCGTCTCTGCATCCCCACCCCCCACCGCGGCCTGGGCGCCCGGGCGGCGGGAGGGGGCGGGGCCGACTGGAGGGGCGGGGCCAGCAGGAGGGGGCGTAGTGCGGGCGGAGCCACCTCCGAGGGCCGGGCGCCCAGGCGGCGGCGCGCGCGAGGACGCTCGGGCGGCGGGACGCAGGGAAGGCAGCGGCCGGAGCGCGCAAGGCGAGTGGGACCCGGGGCTGGGTAGGGGTTCAAGTCCGGTTCGGGGATCGAGTGTGCACCGCCCCCCCACCTACTACCCTACCCCCCGCCTCCAACCCCGGGACACGACTTCGCTGGTCTCAACGAGCCGCTGCCTCCAACTCCACCTTCTATGCCCAAACTTTCCAGACTTGGACTGTCTCTGTCCCCGCGTCCCTGCTCCCTCCCCGTCTATGACCCCATACCCCCATCGATTCCTCCCAGTACCTCCATCGATTCCTCGTGCCCTGCCCGTCTCCCCTGTCCTGGCTCCCCTCTGCCCCCTCTCCCCTGTCTGTGTCCCCCTTTCTGCCTCTGCTCCCCGCCCGGCTCTGCCCCCTCCCCGCACTGTCCCCCCTCACCCTCCTCCGCGGCCATGCCCCAGGCGGCGGGAAGGCGGCCGGGCGTCCGGCCGGGCTGGGCCTGGGCTTGGCGGCTGGGCCGGCGTGGGGAGCGGCAGCTGTTTGCCATTAGCCGGGGATCCACAGGCCCCGCCCCCTCCCTGCACGGGGCGGGGTCCTTCTCGCCGCCCCCCCACCCCGAGTTTAGGGCGAGAAGACCCCCCGCGCCCCCGCCGCCTCCAAGATGTGCAGGCCGGTCTTGGGTGGTGGGTTGGGGAGACCCGTGCCCCTTCCCTGCACTCCCTACCTGTCCCCTCTTGTAGGCTCCAGTCTCTCCATCTGTGTCTTATCCTGTCACCCCTTCCCCACTCCCCAGGGGTCCCATAGCGAGAGAAGGGTTTCAGCCACAGACATCCATCTCCCCCACCACACCCCCTCATCTCCTTTTTCTTCCCCTTACTCGGGAGTCGCTGGTCCTGATCCAGGGCGGTCAGATGACTGAGGACCCTCAGACCTCAGTCTTCATATCTGGGAAACGGGTAGAGATATCTGGTGTGGAGTCTGGGGGTGGTGACTTGGCGGGCATTGGCGGGATCCACCAGCCTTAGGTTCACGTTCAGGCCCAGCTACTTCCCCGTGGCCCCAAGGATCCTAGGCAAGCCACTGTACCTTTCTGTGCCCTCTGCATTCCCTGTCTGTGAAACGGGATAACTGCCCATCTCATGGAATTGTCATGACAATTAAAAGAGTTGATGTTAGGCTGGGTGCAGTGGCTCATGCCTGTAATCCCAGCACCTTGGGAGGCCGAGGTGGGCGGGTCATCTGAGGTCAGGAGTTCGAGATCAGCCTGACCAACATGGAGAAACCCCATCTCTACCAAAAATACAAAATTAGCCAGATATGTTGGCACATGCCTGTAATCCCAGCTACTCAGGAGGCTGAGGCAGGAGAATCGCTTGAACCTGGGAGCCGGAGGTTGCGGTGAGCCAATATCATGCCATTGCACTCCAGCCTGGGCAACAAGAGCAAAACTCCGTCTCAGGAAGAAAAAAAAAAAATAAGTTGGTGTTATTACTACTGTTACTATACTATTTGCCTGGCAGCACCCTCACTCCCCTGCCCCCCTCTCCCCCTGACTATTCCAATCCTGCTGTAATCCCGCTTGCTGCCTGTATCTCCATCTCTCTTTGGTGGTGAGAAAATATTTTCAATCAACTTCCTGTTGCTCAGGGGCGAGTCTCCAGGCAAATGGAAAACCAAATTTCCTGCAATTGGTGACCATGTGTTCCAGGTGTTGAAAGACAGAGAAGCGAAGACAGAAACGTGGAAAGACAGAGAGAAAGACACGGAGAGAGTCGTAGAAGGACAGAGACGTGGAGAGAGACACAGAGAGACAGAGACGTGGAGAGAGACACAGAGAGACAGAGACCTGGAGAGACACAGAGAGACTTGGAGAGAGACAAAGCAAGACAGGACGGGAGAACGAGGACAAGCTCAGGTGCCCCGGAGCCCCAGCCCTGCCTTCATGCCCAGCAGGTGCCCTACCTGGCCCATCCTCCCAAGGTACCTGCTGCCCCCGCACTCAAAGGCCAGAAAGGATTCACTGATGGTGGGATGGGCTGGGGCCTCTGCAGCATGATGACTGGAGGTCAGATAACAGAAAGGACCGGCCAAGTTCAGACGGGTTATACTGGGGACAAAAGAGCCCTGGCCAGCCTCCAGGGCTGAGGGGGGTTTAGTGAGAGGCTCTGATTGTCCCTCCCTTTTGCAGCCTCCAGGCGCCCCGTCTTACTTCCTCCCCTCCACCCCCAGGACTTCCTGGGCCTCCACCCGGCCCTCTATCCCTAGTGTGCCCCTAAGCCGGGACGCATACTAGGCGGGCAGGAAGTTCTGTGGAGCCCGGCAGTGAAACTGTTTATTTTTAGAGAAAATTGTTTCCATAAAGGGGAAAGGCTTCACTCCTAGCTGCCTCCCCAACTTTCCCTACCCCTTCCCCCCTACCTAGTCCAGGCCTGACCCAGCTGTCAGCTTTGGGGTCACTGGGGGTCCCCTTCACCATGCTTTGCTTCTCTTTGTTCCCTTCCATCTCTGTCTCCTCAGATCCTTGCAGGAAGATGAGGTTCCCATCTTCCCCAACCCCTTAGTGCCTCAACCCCCATCCTTCCCTGTGGCCAGCTCCAGGCCTGGGCTGAGGGGAGGGGATGCAGGAAGGGTGGGGCCTGTTGGGCTTGGGGCCCCCCAGCCCCAGAGCTATGTGGAGGCCGGGCTGTGGGAACAGCTGGAGCCTGTCCAGGGGCTGGACAGATGTTCATGCAGGCAGTGAGGTTTGGTTTCTTTGTTCCAGACCTGCGGTGCGGGGGGAGCCCTTCCGCAGCCAGGCCGGGTGTGCGTCTATGAGTGGGTCCCAGACCTGGGTGGGGGGTTGGGTGAGCCAGAAGTGGTGGGGACTGGCCCCATCTCCTTCCCTCCCCCTACAGACTCCTAACTCCCGGTGCCATGGTTCCCTTTCCCCAGGTAAGCCTCAGTCAGTGCTGCAGGCAGGCTGACTCGCAGTCCCTCAAGTGACTTCCAAGGAGCATCTGCAGACAAGAAGATGGCCCAGGTCCTGCACGTGCCTGCCCCCTTCCCAGGTCAGGGGACTCAGGGAAGAGGGCCCTGCCCTGGGGAGCTTCAGTTCTGGAGGCCTGAGGGGCCGGGGACTCTGCCCTGGGGACTTTGAGGGTGGGACGCAGCCCAACGATTAGAGGTCTGAGGGAGGAGGCAGAGTCCTGCTCCGGGTGTCTGATGCGGAGGCACAGCCCTGCGCTGGGAGGGTCTGAGAGCAGACGCGGTTGAGTACCAGATGGGCTCCCATCTCTTGGGCAAATAAACCCCAACTCTCCCCAGGCATCAGTCTTCACCCTGAGTATGGGGACAAGAGGATTCAAAGGTCCTGGTGTTTCTCCCACCCCCAGGGACCCCTGGCCCGGCCTCCCCGCCTGCCTTCCCTGCCAAGGACCCCGACCCACCCTACTCTGTGGAGACCCCCTATGGCTATCGCCTGGACCTGGACTTCCTCAAGTACGTGGACGACATCGAGAAGGGCCACACGCTGCGACGCGTGGCGATGCAGCGCCGCCCCCGCCTGAGCTCGCTGCCCCGTGGCCCTGGCTCCTGGTGGACGTCCACTGAGTCGCTGTGCTCCAATGCCAGTGGGGACAGCCGCCACTCAGCCTATTCCTACTGCGGCCGTGGCTTCTATCCTCAGTATGGTGCTCTGGAGACCCGCGGTGGCTTCAATCCGCGGGTGGAGCGCACACTGCTGGACGCCCGTCGCCGTCTCGAGGACCAGGCGGCCACACCCGCCGGCCTGGGCTCCCTGACCCCCAGTGCGGCTGGCTCGACGGCCTCCCTGGTGGGTGTGGGGTTGCCACCCCCGACGCCACGGAGTTCGGGACTGTCCACGCCGGTGCCTCCCAGTGCCGGGCACCTGGCCCACGTGCGAGAGCAGATGGCGGGTGCCCTGCGGAAGCTACGGCAGCTGGAGGAGCAGGTGAAGCTGATCCCCGTGCTCCAGGTGAAGCTCTCAGTGCTCCAGGAGGAAAAGCGGCAGCTCACAGTGCAACTTAAGAGCCAGAAGTTCCTAGGCCACCCCACAGCGGGCCGGGGCCGCAGCGAGCTCTGCCTGGACCTCCCCGATCCCCCAGAGGACCCAGTGGCACTTGAGACCCGGAGTGTGGGCACCTGGGTCCGAGAACGGGACTTGGGCATGCCTGATGGGGAGGCTGCCCTCACTGCCAAGGTCGCTGTGCTGGAGACCCAGCTCAAGAAGGCACTGCAGGAGCTGCAGGCAGCTCAGGCCCGACAGGCCGACCCCCAGCCCCAGGCCTGGCCACCGCCAGACAGCCCGGTTCGCGTGGATACCGTCCGGGTGGTAGAAGGGCCACGGGAGGTGGAGGTGGTGGCCAGCACAGCCGCTGGCACCCCTGCACAGCGGGCCCAGAGCCTGGAGCCTTATGGGGCGGGGCTGAGGGCCCTGGCAATGCCTGGTGGGCCTGAGAGCCCACCTGTGTTCCGCAGCCAGGAGGTGGTGGAGACGATGTGCCCAGTGCCTGCCGCGGCTACCAGCAACGTCCATATGGTGAAGAAGATTAGCATCACAGAGCGCAGCTGTGATGGAACAGCAGGTAAGCGGTCTCAGGCGGGGAGAATGGCTGGGGGTGGGGGGGCCCTCTTTCTTCCCATGGCTCATCCTGGACCCTCAGAATGCCAGGATCCAGGCGGGGTGCTGTGGCACATGCCTGTAATCCCAGCACTTTGGGAGGCCGAGGCAGGCCTCTTGAGGTCAGGAGTTCAAGACCAGCCTGGCCAACATGGTGAAACCTCATCTCTACTAAAAATACAAAAATTAGCCAGGTGTGGTGGCACGCACCTGAAACCTCAGCTACTCAGGAGGCTGAGGCAGGAGAATCGCTTGAACCAGGGAAGCAGAGGTTGCAGTGCCTGTAGACCCAGCTACTTGGGAGGCTAAGGCGGGAGGATTACCTGAGCCTAGGAGTCAAGGCTGCAATGAGCCGTGATTGCACCACTGCACTCTGGCTTGGGCAACAGAGCGAGACTCTATCTCTTAATAACAACAACAACAAGATATTTGTGCACCTGGATCCAGCCATGCCTGAAGCTGTCATCAGTTACATAACAACACATTTCCTTTTCACTGCTTAAACTGGTCCAAGATTGATTCCTGCCACTTACTGAATAAACAGGGAGGATTTCTGCCTGGTAAACCAACAGCCTTGGGGAACTTTCCCCCAAATACCTCCCGCTTTCTGGATACTGACAAAGTGGCAGTCACCTAATTTCTCTGCATGGTTGCTACAGCCCTGAGGTTGGCTGCACAATTCCTCCCCTTTTGTGGATGACAAGACAGAGACTCTCTAAGAGTTGGAGTGATGTGTCTGGTGGAAGAAAATTAACGAGTGCCTTGTTAATTTTTTTAAATTTTTTGTAGAGACAAAGCCTCATTATGTTGCCCAGGCTGGTCTCAAACTTCTGGGCTCAAGTGATCCTCCTGTCTTGGCCTCCCAGAGTGCAGAGATTACAAGCATGAGCCACCACGCTGGCCTCAGTGCTCAGGTATCATCAGGAATCTAACTTGATTCCTGATGGAATCAGGAATGTCTTAATTTTTTTGTTTACCCTGGGAGCTTCTCTTTCAGGCAGGCAAGGGAAGGTGACCTCACTGCTCCAGGCATCTGTCTGTTCTGTTTAGTGCAGAGGGAGCTCCTTAGTCCAAAGAGCACCAGTAAAAATCCCAGAGGGGGCCCTCATTGGCTGGCCTGGGTCATGTGCCCATTGCTGAGCCAATCACAGTGCAGTGTCCCTGTCTGCCTAGCCATGGACACTGCGGGTAGGGGAGCCCCACCCAAGCCCTGTGGCCTTTGAGGGAGGAAGGGGGTGCTTCCCAGAGGAAGTACTGAGTCCTGATGCCAGGAAAGGGGATGCCGGCTGTGCAGAATGTCAGCTGCCGGGTTGTCCTGAGGTCCCTGGGAGAAGCCACCCAAATGATTCATAATAATGACAGCTGAGCCGGGCGCGATGGCTCATGCCTGTAATCCCACACTTTGGGAGGCCGAGGCAGGCGGATGGCTTGAGGCCAGGAGTTCAAGACCAGCCTGGCCAACCCAGTGAAACCCTGTCTCTACTAAAAATAACAAAAATCAGCCAGGCGTGGTGGCACGCACCTGTAGTCCCTGCTACTCCGGAGGCTGAGGCAGGAGAATCGCTTGAACCCGAAGGCGGAGGTTGCAGTGAGCCAAGATCACACCACTGCCCTCCAGCCTGGGCAACAGAGTGCAACTGTATCTCAAAATAATTAATAATAATAATGACAGCTGGCCAGGCATGGTGGCTCATGCCTGTAATCCCAGCACTTTGGGAGGCAGAGGCAGGCAGATCACTTGAGGCCAGGAGTTCAAGACCACCCTGGCCAACATGGTGAAACCCTGTCTCTACTAAAAATACAAAAATTAGCCGGGCATGTTGGCAGGTGCCTGTAATCCCAGCTACTTCAGAGACTGAAGCACAAGAATCACTTGAACCTGGGAGCCGGAGGTTGCAGTGAGCTGAGATCATGCCACTGCACTCCAGCCTGGGCAACCGAGTGAAACTGTGTCTCAAAAATAATAATAATGATAATGATAATGACAGCTGTTCTTCTTGAAACATGGTCGGGGAGGCTCTGCCAGGTGGGTTCAAACTCATGCGGTGTGATACTGGGTAAGCAACATCACTTCTCTAGCCCTAAACATCCCTATCTGTGAAGTGGCATGATAATGCTCTCCGTCTTAGAGAGGTGGAGAATTTATGAGTTCATGCACACGGTTAAGTTCTGGTTGCTGCTTCTGCTGATAATGTTCTGCTCAACCCTGTTTATACCTGGGGAAACTGAGGCTTAAGGAGGAGATTCATTTGTCCTGTGTCACACAGCCAGGAAGTGGCTCAACTGAGCCAGTATCTAAACCCAGGACATCAAGCCTATAATCCTAGCACTTTGGGAGGCTGAGGTGGGTGGATCACCTGAGCTCAGGGGTTCAAGACCAGCCTGGCCAATATAGTGAAACCCCGTCACTACTAAAAATACAAAAATAAGCTGGGCATGGTGGCACACGCCTGTAGTCCTAGCTACTCAGGAGGTTAAGGGAGGAGAATTGCTTGAACCTAGGAGGCGGAGGTTGCAGTGAGCCAACATCGCACCACTGCACTCCAGCCTGGATGACAGCGAGACTCCATCTCAAAAAACAGAAAAAGAAAAAAAGTAAAAATAAATAAACCCAGGACAGCTTGAATCTGCCGCAGAGCTCGAAGGTAGGGCCCAAGTTCTCATCCTAGCCTCGAATGTCAGGTGGCCAGAGCCCCTACCGACAGACCAGAGGGCACAGGCTGGAGGACACGGACCCAGCTGTGTTTTCTTGCCGGTCCGTGTTGTTCCTGGCCAGCTCTGGACACCACCCGCCTGTTCTATGTCTATCCCAAACACTCAACCCTGAGGTTCTGGCCCCCTGCCAGAGGCCCCGCCTGGCTCAGCCTCGGAATCTCTGAGAGGCAACCACCATTCCAGACGTGCCTCCCAGAGCAGCTGGGAGGCCTTCTGCCTGCAGGACGAACAGACATAGCGATGTCCACCTTCTTTGCATGCAAGCTGCTACCTTGAAAGTTCTTCCTGGAGTCTCATTTTATTCCCTGTTGCTGCAGGCAGCCCCAATCTCTGCCTTGCTTGGGCTGAGCTGGAATGTCTTAATTCATTTCTATATCTTCTTTTTTTTTTTTTTTTTGACGGAGTCTTGCTCTGTCGCCCAGGCTGGAGTGCAGTGATGCAATCTCGGCTCACTGCAACCTCAGCCTCCCGAGTAGCTGGGATTACAGGCAGGCACCACCATAACTGACTAATTTTTGTATTTTTAGTAGAGATGGGGTTTCACCATGTTGGTCAAGCTGGTCTCAAACGCTTGACCTCAGGTGATCCAACTGACTCGGCCTTTGAGCATGATTTAATCTCTCTGTGCCTCAGTTTCCTCATTTACAAATTGGGGGTCCTGACGGCACAGTATCACTGGAATAATGTGAGGCTTTAATATGTCAATTTGCTGGGCACAATGGCTTATGCCTATAATCCTAGAGCTTTGGGGGGCCAAGGCAGGAGGATTGCTTGAGGCCAGTGGGACGAGGCTACGGTGAGTTGTGACCAACCACTGCACTTCTTGGGTTCAAAAGATTCTCCTTGTCCACGCCTCCCAAGGAGCTGGGATTACAGGCACCCGCCACCACACCCAGCTAATTTTTGTGTACTTAGTAGAGATGGAGTTTCACTATGTTAGCCAGGCCGGTCTCGAACTCCTGAGCTCGTGATCTGCCGGCCTCGGCCTCCCAGAGTGCTGGGATTACAGGCGTGAGCCACCACACCCGGCCTCCAAGGAGCCTCTTTGAACAAAGACGTGAAAGGAAAGAAGTCACCAAAAGAGGTGGAAAAAATAATGGTCCAGGGAGGAGCACAGCAGGGACAAAGGCCCTGAGATAAGCAGAGGCTCGGACTTATCAAGGGGTTGAACAAACTGGAATGAGCTACTGCACCCAGCCTAAATTAAAAACAAACAAACAAACTTATTTTGGGCCCGGTGCGGTGGCTCACGCCTATAATCCCCGCACTTTGGGAGTCCAAGGTGGGCAGATCACCTGAGGTCAGGAGCTCAAGACCAGCCTGGGCAACATGGCGAAACCTCATCTCTACTAAAAATACAAAAATCAGCCAGGCGTGGTGGCACACACCTGTAATCCCAGCTACTTGGGAAGCTGAGAAAGGAGGATTGCCTGAACCGGGGAGGTGGAAATTGCAGTGAACTGAGATCGCATCGCTGCACTCCAGCCTGGGTGACAGAGTGAGACTGAGACTCCATCTCAAAAAAAAAAAAAAAAAAAAAAATTGTATTTTGGCCTGCAGGAGTCCAAAACTGAGTTCATCTCATTCCTTAGCTCCTGACAAGCATCCACGTTAGCCTGCACAGACCACTTCTCTTGTATTATTATTATTATTATCCTTTTATCTTTACTTTTGACACAGAGTCTCGCTGTCACCCAGGCTGGAGTGCAGTGGCGCAATCTCGGCTCACTGCAAGCTCCGCCTCCCGGGTTCACGCCATTCTCCTGCCTCAGCCTCCCGAGTAGCTGGGACTACAGGCACCCGCCACCACGCCCGGCTAATTTTTTGTATTTTTTAGTAGAGACGGGGTTTCACAGTGTTAGCCAGGATGGTCTCGATCTCCTGACCTCGTGATCCGCCCGTCTCGGCCTCCCAAAGTGCTGGGATTACAGGCTTGAGCCACCGCGCCCGGCCTGTATTATTATTTTTTCACCTTCAACCTCCACCTTCACCCTTCAATGCTAAAGGTCAGTCAATATTTTCACTTTGGCGGGCCATACAGTCTCTATTGCACTGATTCAACTCTGCCTCAGTTCTTTTTTCCTCCCCACTTTATTTTTATTCCTTTTATCCTTTTTGTTGAGATGAAGTCTCACTATGTTGCCTAGGCTGGCTTCAAACTCGGGGACTGAAGTGATCCTTCCACGTCAGCCTCCTGAGGAACTGGGATTACAGGCGTGTGCCACTATGCCCAACTTTTTCTGGTTTTAC